GTTACTCTAGCCTCCAGATGGCAATGAGACAAGGACGGAGGGAGGAAGGAAATTAACTTTTTTTGAACACCTCTTAACCTGCCTCTCTTATCGTCATATCATTTTTTACCTGATAAGCAGACATTTTTCTTTTCTTTTACTTTAAACTAGGCTATTAAACTAAAAGCAGAATGGCGTGACCTCTCATATTTCTAAGTTGCCCATATTGTGCAGTTTTTCCATCTCATTCACTCTTTTATTTCCCTGGGAACCCATCACAAGTCCCTGGAGGCTACACAGAAAGACAGTTTTGTTAAATACTGCTCAGGGTCGCACACCAAATCTTTCCTTCCTTTCAACCTCCAACTAATATTCCACAAATAGATTGGTACCCAATTATCTCTCTCTGAGAGTATATTTCTTTCCTATCTAGAAGTCCTCTATCCAGTTCCATCCAGAGATAAAAAATAGCCATTACTCAATACTAATTTGGAGTCTGAACTTCAGGAACTGTTTTCTACTTCTTCAAGTATTGCCTCTTCTCTGAAGTTCATTGTGCCATCTTTGCTGCCCTGCTGGTCTGTCCAGATGTAGCCAACATAGCATATCCACAGTTTGCTGTGGGTTTATTCCTGAGGCCTGTGATCTGGGAACCTTGCTGCATACGGGTTATATAACACTGTGTCATATGCAGTGATTTCTAAATATGAACATGTGACCATATGAACAAAAATATGTCTTCTGAATAAGAAAACATGATCTCTTTGTTCTTCCCTCTATCCATATATCCATCCTTCCCTCCCTCCCTCCATCCTTCCCTCCCTTCCTCCATCCTTGTTTGTCTCTGTCCTCTCCCTCCCCCTCTCCCCATCTCTCTCATATCTGGGTACTCTACGGAAGGGGGCACTCTGAGAAATGACTAGTAGTCTGTGTGTAACACACTGATGTGTTACAGATTGAGAATTTATCTCTCCTGAAGAATGGTACATGGAATCTAACCAGTCCATTGAATGGTTGCTAGAGATGCTCTGCTCAGTCTCTGTAAATAGATGAGAACAGGCATGAGGAAGATGAGTAGGGCTAAGTATTGACTCCAGACTTTCCTCTAGAGGGAGCTGATGGTCAGGCAAGAGAAAACCAACAGTGAGATTGGTCAAAAGCTAGTGAGGAGGGAGGGAGATGCAAGAGGGAGGAGATATGGGGATGTATGTATATGTATAGCTGATTCACTTTGTTATAAAGCAGAAACTAACACACCATTGTAAAGCAATTATACTCCAATAAAGATGTTTTTAAAAAAACTAGTGAGGAAGCTTTGAGTGTGGGCAATATCACAATGCTGGGTGGGGCTGAGCAATTAATCCTAAGCCTGTGGACTTAAAAAACATTGGAAACTCTCAGTATAATATCAGAGCCATCTTAATGCTATTTGCCCATGCTATAGTGCTAAAATCTTGATTTCATCCCTGGAGACTAATTGAAAGATTTTATGAACTTTGAGCCACCCACCCATTCTTCTATCCCCCTCCCATTAAATATTTGCTGAGCTTATATTATGTGCTTAATGCTGTGCCAGATATTGGGGACACAGAATTAAATTGTCATTGTCCCTAACCTCAAGGAAATAAATGAAGAAAATAAATACAGAAGCAGATAGCTACAATTTAGTGCAAAAGTGCTAATTTGAAAATATGTGTGTGATATGATAGTAGGGAATAAAGTATATGGGGGATTAGCATGAGGAATTGAAATGTGTATATGGTCAATCTACCTATAGTCATCTCAGAAAACTAGGGAACAGGCTGACAAGGCATGAAAGAGGACCATGATAAAATCCCTTGAGTCAGGGGCTCCCTGTCACCTACCATCTAAACTCTTTGCCTGGTACTCAAAGCTCAACATTTAATTGTTGGCTTGCAATACCCACTGGTAGTTCCCAGAGCATGTCTTGTTGTTTTACATATTCATTTCATTGTATATGTTGTTTCTCCCCATTGATATCATCTCCTCTTTCATTCTACCCTCTTTTGTCCACCTGCTTTCAAGAACTCGCTACCCTAGGATTTTAGATTGACTTCATTTTCAGTAGGTATCAGCTCAGTTATCACTGATTCAGAGATGTCTTCCCTTTTAAAATCTAAAGTGGCAACGCCATCTACATTCACCATCACATCATTCTTTCTTATTTTCCTCATGGCACTTTTCTATATCTGAGTTTGTACTTCATTTATTTGTTTACCATCTATGTCCACCTTGATTAACAAGTAAACTTCCTGAGACAGAGGCTTTGACAATCTTATTCACTGCTGTATTTTCAGGGTCTAGAATCAAGCCTGGTAAATAATAAGTGCTTAATCAATATTTGTTGAATTGATGAAATAATTAATTAATAAACCATCGTTTTCCATTGGAGTACATGCCTCTTGGGAGAAGGGGTCATCAGCTTTCATCTGTGTGTTCTATATACACTCTTTGGCACATCATAGATGCTCAGTAAATAATTATTGAATGAATGAAGGGGGACCAAGGAAGTTTTTGCCGATGACTCCAGGGCTGGAGCTAAGGTGTTAATATTGAAGTTCTTTTTGGAACATGAGCTATCTGCTCAGCTAGGACGGTTTCAGAGTGATTGCTTCTCCAATTGGAGCATGACTACTGACCTGAGACTGCCTCAGTTGACAAATTAAACTTGCTAACCCTGAGCATAAGAATAGCCTTTGCAAACTCAAATGGCTGGGGAGGTGGCAGGGAGAGGACAACCATCATACAGCCCTTTGATTTCCCATAGTCTTGGTTTCTGCAGCAATTATGGAATTGTGGGAATCTTAGGACCTATGTTAAACATGGCAAAATTCAAATGAGTAGTATCAAAATGCCAGAATACTTGCCAAAAGTTGTTCACTTTGCTTGATGTCCTAAAAAGCAGAGTCAATATATAGTGTCCCCAGTTTGCATGCACATTTCTTACTTTTAAAAAATAAATTTCTTGTAAAATGTAAGACGTTTTAACCTTGCTGAGGAGTTTGCCTGTGGCTACATGGAAATTTTAAGATGCAATTGCTTGAGCAAAAAGTTACAATATTTAGTAAAAATATAAGTTCGAAAGATGAAGGATATTATTTATCTTATTCAGACCAGTCAAAGTCCAAACTGAGTGTTCATGCTGCTTGTAATAATACAGGAATATTCCTGCCTTCATGTATGTATGAATTACTCTGACCAAAGTTTAGAGGAAAACAAAAATCATCCTTGGACTTAGATTCCTTAAAAAATCTTCAGATACAAGGGTAAAATTGTTTGATAAAATTATTAACAATCAAAATGTGTCCTCAAAATAGGTTTGCCCAAAAACATTCTCCATATATGGATTTGATTTGTAACAGGAATCATATAATTTATGTGCCAAGTGGTGTTGAAGAGCCTCTACTTAATTGTATTAGCATGAATAAAATGACTGAAGTCATTGGTGATGGAAAGAAGCGTGATTTAGTATTAGATTTTCTGGTGGAGAAAGCTTCACTGTT